ATAATTAATATAATTAAATTAATATTTCGTTGCCCAAAAATTTGAAATAATTAATATAAAACCAAAATAATAAAACAAAAAGTCAAAAACTAAAATATTTTTTTTTAAAGTTTTGCGCGACCAATGTCGTTCGTCATGCAAAACTTTGAGCGACAAATATTTTTTCGTCGCGCAAAGTTACTTTGCGTGACCAATTGTTTTTGTCGCGCAAAGTCACTTTGCAAAACCAATATTTTTTTGTTGCGCAAAGTCTCTTTGCGCAACAAATGAAAAAACTTCGTCACGCAAAGTATTTCTTCACGATCTTTGCGCGACATAATCTACGCGACGAAGTTTCTGTAGCCCTAAAATTTGTGCGACTACAATGTATTTTGCGCGACGAAATTCTCTTCGTCGCGCAAAGTGTAAAATGTAGTAGTGTATGATTTCGATAATAAATAGATTTATGTTTTTATTAGGGATCTACAATAGTATTTCAGTTACAATAATTAATCATACTAATGATAGGAAATGGTCAGTTGTCAGTTATGTTGTTTTAGGCCATAACTTCATATTTATGTTTATGATAATGGCTTGTTCTAATTGTAGATTGTTCTCTACATATTTATATATTGTATAATGATCATATGAATGACTAAGGAAAAATAAGTTTCTACATGGTATCAGAGCTAATAGCTAACACCGTTAGCGATTCTCCAATTGCCAACATTGAGAGCCGTTGGCGCTCCTCACTCCTCACCCGTAAGGGTGTTTGTTTGTGTTTAGTGCTTTTTCCTCTCCTCTCCTCTTCTCAAAGATGAATATGTTTTTTCTTTCCACCTTAGCTGTAGCCGCACCTTTCTTTTACCACTGCAAGCTTTTCTTCTGTTCGCCCGTTATTAATATTTTTCAAAATTTTCGTGTTAGTTGCTTTACTAGGCTTGGATCTCATACCCATGTATTTCTTCACAACACATCACAGCAAGATGAATTTAGAAACTCTAGATCATTGCCTCTTAAAATTTGTTCACTACACATCCCCTTCAATATGATGGTAGATTGACCCTGCGAAGGCTATATCTAAAGGAAAAGCAAACAGAGCCATGCCACTAGAATACGGATTTTTGTTTTTGTTTTGTTTTGTTGACCTTTTTACGTAGCGTGTTGCGTATTTGTTTAGAATGGCACATGGATCGCGACTTGCGTGAGAGTGTATGATGAACTTTCGAGTGCCCAAATCGGGTTTATTCTTAGTAAGGTATCGCACTGGGCCGGAAATATATTTGGGCCTACTCTTGAATTTTTTGGGCCTCAACACACTCGAAATTCTGTGTTTGAATCTCACCCACCTAATATCGATCGCTTTTATTAAAAAATAATAATAATAATAATAGAGACTATGTCGTGTATATATCTCAATCATTCATCAAGTTTTGAATCTCAATAACAATTGGTTGTTGTAAGAACGTCCAGCCGAATTAACTATGAAGATAGTTTTTGTTTTTCTGAGGAAGGTTTATTGGGGTGCATAGAGTAATTGGACTGTCTTGGCTTTATGGGGCTCCTACCATTGTTGACAATAGGGCTACTAATTATATTGGCCGTGTTTGTGTTTAAATAGCTTGATAAAATTTGAAGTTTCATGCCCACGAAGAAAATTCTTACAAGATTTGATGACCTTAAACATGGTGCAAGTTAAAAGAACAGTAGGGTTGGTGGTCCATTGATTCCTACCTGGCGGCTGTAGAATTTTTCGTTGTTGTTGTTTCATCCTTGGTTATATTAACTGTGGCCTCGGCGGCTTCATTCCTTTCTCTGCTATTCCGTCTTAATTTTGGTCGTGCATGATAAAATTGACCTTAAATTGATTGGCGCTTTTGATTAAAAAAGAGTTTATTTGATGCACGTTCTCAACACGTCTTTTCCTTGTCCATAAGTAAGGTTGCCGACCTAGTTCTTTCGATTGATGGAGCTCATGGTAAGAATTTAGATGACTTCATTTGCTTCAAGTCACACCACACCAGTTGCCTTTTCCAATCTGTCATGATGAGATGAGATTCGACAAAAAGCTTTAATGGACCCATATGATTTTATTTTGGTATGACATTTGGCACCGACCGTGTATAGAAGAACAAATTTGATAAAAGTTTCCTTACCAAAAATGGCTGTTAGAGATTGCATGTAATATCAGGTGTTTTGAATTATTTAGTGTCGGTGTGGACAAATTTAATCTAAGAAGAAAATATCTAAATTCATCCGGATCCTTTTGTGTGATGCGGTTGCATTATTTGGTTAGTGCCTACCCAAATTGTATTATTTGAGTAAGGAAAATTGGCATAAATATCACCTGAAATTTTAGGCATGTGTAGGATTATCATCTTAATTTTTAATTTTATTAGTAACCACATGAACTATGTAAAGTGTTGGAATTTACCAACTATATCTAACTCTGTTTAAAAATTTCATCAAATCAAGTCACATAATGCACATGTGATTTTTAAGGGCATTTATGTCAATCACTATATATATATAATTTAGAAATTTTAAAAACTAACAGAATTTAATTTTAAATGAAAAAAATAAGTACGAAAACTAACCTAATAATTTCACAAACTTCCCCACCTCCTTCCAACACCAATTCTCCCTCACCAAAATAAAGTGAACATTTTCTCTCTGAAATTGGGTTATTCTTGGTCGATGTCTTCGTTTTGTTTTTTTCTCAAAATTTGGTGTTAGTTGCTTCACTAGGCTTGGATCTCATACGTCCTGCCTCTTAAAATTTCTTCACAACACATCACAGGAAGATGAATTTAGAAACTGTAGATCACTGCGTCTTGTTCACTACTCTACACATCCCCTTCAATATGATGGTACATTGACCTTGCGAAGGCTATATCTAGGAAAAGCAAACAGAGCCATGCCACTAGAATACAGATTTTTGTTTTGTAAATTTTTTATTCAGTTATTCGGTGTTGATTTTTCAATTTAAAAAATGTGTTTGGAAATCTTGTTGGCTCAATCACTTTTCTTTCTTTGTTTCTACTCTTCTAGATTTGGGAGGGGTTACTTTGGCAATGAGTGAGAACTAGTGTAGGAAGGGGATGGGAAGGTCGTGGAAAAATTAGGTTGGTTTTATTTTATATTTTTTTTCCTATTAGCTTTATATTTTTTTATTTATAGTGAATTGATGGAAATGTTCTTTAATAATATCATATTTGAAGCATGTGACTTGATTTAACGGAATTTTTAAAGGAGTTAGATGTAGATGGTAATATATTTCAACATTTTAAATAGTTCAAATGGTTACCAAAAAAATTTATGAGGTAATCATGCGCATACCTTAAAGTTGAAATGATATTTGTGCAAATTTCCATTTGGGGTAAATAGAGATGGCTTGTAAAAGCTTCCACTTGTGACAGATAAGTCCAGACACAAACTGTTCTCAAATGTCTTTACGGACGCAAGTTGTTGTCAAATTACCTACGCAAGTCATTCTGAAATGTCTTTACCCAAGTTTGTCTCTTAGCTTAGGGGATATATATATAAACAACTTAAAAGAGTTAGTCCTGAAAAGATATTTTCATGCTTTCTCGATAAGTCTCCACAATCGTGCCAAAAATTAATTGAGTTAAGTGAGAGATGGATTTCTTGAGTTGCATGCTAATGTGTCTTATGGTTGCCTGGATCTCAATCCATGCCCTCTATTATTCATTTGCAAGAACAAGTCCCAATAAGCTTCCGCCCGGACCAAAGCCACTTCCTTTCATTGGAAATCTTCTAGAGCTTGGAAACAAACCCCACCTCTCCCTAACCAAGCTTTCACAGCGCTATGGCCCCATTATGACTTTACATCTTGGCCAAATCACAACTGTTGTAGTTTCTTCATCCGCCATAGCTAAACAAGTCCTGCAAACCCATGACCAATTGTTTTGCAACCGAACAGTATTAGATTCAGTCCAAGCCTGTAAACATGGCGAGAACGGCATGCCCTGGATACCTGTTTCAGCTAAGTGGAGAAACCTTCGCAAAATATGCAACTCCCAATTGTTCGCCACCAAAGTTCTCGACGCCAGCCAAGCCAACCGTCACCTAAAAGTGCAAGAGCTCATAGCTGATGTCCATGAAAGCGTTGTAAAAGGTGATGCAGTGGAGATTGGAAGCGCTGCTTTCAAAACTACGCTCAATTTGATGTCGCGGACTGTCTTCTCTGTGGGGACCAGAATAGTGAGAGGGCTAGAGAGTTCAAGAAGCTGGTGCGGAGTATTATGGAAGAGATTTCGAAACCAAACTTGGCTGACTATTTTCCAGTGCTTAAAAAGATTGACCCCGTGGGGATACGGCGCCGTTTGACTCGTCACTTCCTGAAGATGTTTGACCTCTTCGATCGCTTGATCATCCAAAGAATGGAATCAAGAAAAGCACCTGACTATATCATGACCAGTGACATGTTAGATACCCTTATAAACAGTAGTGAAGAGAAAAATGAGGACATGGACATGGTTGAAACTCAACATTTGTTCCTGGTTAGTGGCTATCTATATATACTCTAGCTCTTCTGTTCTTTAATCTTGATAACTTTGTTTCAATTGATACTAAGTTACTAACTAGTGTATATATGTATAAATTGCTTAGATTTCAAAATTAATTATGACTACTATACATTTTCGCTTTTGTTTTCGTTTTCTTAATTGCTACTGTCTCAATCGGAGGTCGAGTTTACCATGAAAATGGTGGATCAGATGTTGAATTGATATGGTATAAGTAATTATATTCCTACTATTTAATCAATTTGGTCAATTATTATAGGATCTATTTGCTGCTGCCACAGACACAACTTCAGCCACATTAGAATGGGCAATGGCTGAGCTACTACGCAACCCCGAAAGTCTGTCAAAAGCTCAACAGGAGCTGAAGCACATCATTGGCAAAGGAAAACCAGTGGAGGAATCAGACATCACTCGGCTCCCTTACTTACAAGCCATAATCAAAGAGACCTTCCGCTTGCACCCAGCAGCTCCATTGCTAATTCCTCGCAAAGCTGGAGCAGATGTAGAAATCTGCGGGTACATTGTACCAAAGGGTGCACAAGTTTTGGTCAATGCATGGGCCATAGGCAGAGACCCCAGCATCTGGGACAACCCAAACTCCTTTATGCCAGAGAGGTTCTTGGGATTGGACATGGATGTTACAGGGAGGAACTTTGAGCTTATCCCGTTTGGTGGTGGACGGAGAATTTGTCCTGGGTTACCATTGGCAATGAGAATGCTGAACTTGATGTTGGGGTCACTTCTTAACTGCTTTGATAACTGGAAGCTTGAAGATGGGGTTGCACCAGAGACCATGAACATGGAAGACAAGTTTGGCCTCACTTTAGAGAAGGCTCAGCCTCTAATAGCTGTGCCCGTGACATAGGAGATCCTAGCTAGCTATTGGTGTTTACGTACATTGATAAAAACCGTAAAAACTATGCACTGTATCCTCCTACTTATTAAGTTTGAAACTCAATAATGATCAATTGTTGTGAAACTGTTACTGTCACCCATTGGTTTAACTATGATTACTTACTGTTACCCATTGGTTTAATAAACGCAATTTTTTATATAGAAAATTAGTTAAACACCAATTCCTAGACAAAAAACTATAAAAATACCCTATATTATTTTATGTATATAAATACACCCAAAACAAACTCAAAAATCGACAGCTGTATATTTTTTAATTTAATTATTAAGATGAAATACCTTTATTATCCTTTTAACATAAAATTGGAATTCTAATCAACACCGGATCAGAACTCATTTCACGACCTCCGGTCTCTCATCTTCATCTTCAACCCCAATTTTCAATTTTTGTTCTTCCACCTCAGTTTTTGTTCAACCTCATCATTCTAAGCTTCGTCGGAGGGCTCGCCTGGGCCACCGACAATGATGCGCTGGAGAGGGCCTTTTCTCAGTTCGGTGAGATCATTGAATCGAAGGGCCGTTTGACGCATGTTCTCTCTCTGCTACTTGATCTTTTGTTTCTCTATGTTACTTGATCTTTTGTTTCTCTATGTTACTTGATCTTTCTCTCCCAAATATTGAAGATCATAGATTCTTTTTCATTTTTGTTTATTATTGTGTATTTATTTGATTATACTCCGGCATTTTGGTTTTGATGGATGGATCTGATTTGATTTGGTTTCTTTTGTGTTTCCAGATCATCAACGACCGTGAGACTGGGAGGTCCAGGGGCTTTGGCTTCATCTTCGTCACCTTCAGCAACGAGAAGACCATGAGGAACGCGATCGAAGGCATGAACGACCAGAACCTCGATAGTCATAACACTGAGACCTACATTATTTTGTAGTGTGCCTCAGTTGTACAACAGAATATATGCCGGGTAATCATAGTTGGCTTCTACATTCCTATATATCCACGTACTTACATTTCAGTTCCTCCAGACCTCATTAATTTGCTTTCGCCTTTTACTTTTATCTCCTTTGAATTGCTTTATACATATTATCATTCTTTTTTTTCAAAGAGTTTACAGAGTTTTAAATTAATTTAAATGAATTTTACAGAGTTTGCAAGATACAGTAGCTAGATTTACAAGTATGGATTATAAAACTCTTGATCAATTCGCTTACAAGATCTGGTAAAAGAGGAGTTTTTATGTTGTCACTTATATTAAAAGTATTCAGAGTCCTTTAGCCCTTTTGCCAGTCCTGCTTAGTAAGCTGTACGGTTTCAGAAAATTCACTATGTTTGAATGCTTCGAGATTTGTATTTATATATATGAAATTACTCTACTGAAATTTATATGCCATCCAGGGCCTCAGTGAGCGTCTTGTACCTGCTAGTTGCCCTGCAATAGGTCTCATGTTCAAGCACGTTAGTATCTATATCTTTCTTTTGTTCACCTTCCTTCAAGTACGTGGTCTGATTAATTTATCTGAATGTCTGTTTCTCTGAATTAAAATTGTGGATATAGGGCTTTATGTGTGCTTTTTTGTTTTTTTTTTTCGTGACTCACTGTCTCTACACCTTGATGTTTGCCTATTTGATGAACTTTATGATTAGCACTCGTGGGCTCTCTGACATTTCAATGCTGTACCACTACTACAAAATAGTGAATCCACAACACCAAAAAAAAGACGGTTAAACTTAAAACCGTCATTGTGTTTTAAAAAACGACGATTTTACAAAACTGTCGTTATATATCATCTTATACACCATTAAAATCGATTTGCCTTATTTAGATTTTTAAAACACGACGTTTATAAATAAGAAACGTCGTCTTTTAAAACACTCTTAGGTTGTCTCATTTTTAAAACACGACACTTGTGAATATAAAGGTCGTCTTCTAAAACACGCTAGGTTGCTTAAGTGAGTTATCTGTCGACCTAAATTTTTCAGATTTCCCCAAAGCTTGAAAACATTCCCCCTCTCAACTCTCTCTCTCCCTTCCTCAACTCTCGCCCTCGACCTAAAGTGGCCGCTTAATTTCTGCTCGTCGTCGTCACAGAGCTTGCCATCGTCGCGCGTCGGACGGAGACTCCTCTATCGAAATCAACAACCCAACTTCATTGTCATGCGACCCCCAAGTCTCTCATTCTCCTCATCCTCTCCTCCATCTCGCTCTTCAAACTGAAGTCGGGGGTGAGAGATTCCCCTCTGTCTTCTTCACTTTGAGTTTGTTGAGGTTCGTATCTCTATCCTCATGTTCTTACTTTAATCTTTTGTTGAGGTTCAAATGCAAATAGTTTTCAGGAATAAATTTAAGTATATAGTTCTGTATTCTTGCCTTACATATTATGAGTTGTGCAATTTCTCTTATCTTAGAATTGATAAGAATTTATTCAGTTCTTTTCTTGGATGAGCTCTTAGTATTAATTATTATGTTCCATGTATGAATAATGCTCTCTTCTTTCTCCATTTAAATCTTCCTTTGGATGTCTGTCTATCTCTTTGTTGATGTATCTTAATCCAAGCATTTACTGTCTTGAAATTACATCTATATTTCTGGTTTAGAGGTTATTTGGCACCAGAGTGCGAAATACGAGGGCAATTGACAAGGAAAGCAGATATTTATAGCTTTGGGATGCTTCTTGAGGAAATAGTCACTGGAAGATGTAATACAAATACATGACTACCAATTGACGAACAGTATCTGCTTGAAAGGGTATTAATTTCAGATTTATTCTGTCCTTACAAGCTTTTTCTTTCAATTTGGTTAAATGAAAAACATTAGATGGCAATTGCATGTGTCATGTGATTTTGGTAGATGCAGTTTTGCTTTCATATTTCCTGATCACAGTAATTTGGGTACTGCTAAACTCCTGTTGGTATTTAAAAGAAAAAAAAAATTGGTCTTTGACATATTGCACATAAATTGATAAGCCTTCTGAAGTTTGCAACCTTGTTTCCCATCAATTCGTTTGTTGCTGGACAATTTTGTACAGATGTTTTTACAAATTTTTGTGTGTGTGTGAGTTGTGTGTTATAACAACTTCCTTCATAGCCATGTTGGCTTGTATTACCAAAGAGCAGGTGCAAGGCATGGTGATGAGGGAAAAGGCTGAATTTTTATTGAAATGCTTGTAGTAACTAGTTGTTTGAGTCATTGATTCATTTATGTCATATCGACTTCGCCTAAAAATATGTTTGATTATTTGTTTTATATTGAATTCTACACTGCAGATAACCAATCTATTACCTTAGGCGTAGGCACTATTAATGACTAGTGCATTCTTGTGTGGCAGACATGACAAGTCTACAAGTGGAAGGAGCTTGTTGGGCTGGTAGACACATCATTGGATGGTGATTTTGATGCCGAGGAGGCTTGTAGGTTTTTAAAGATTGGCCTTGTTTATTTTAAACATGTTTTATGCTATATAGGCCCTCGTTTATTTATTGGTGTAATGTTTTGCTTTTATTGGCTTTCCCTTAGAGCGAGAACCTAACTATTTTCTTGATGTAAAATCACTAATTTTTTGTTTCATTTTTTCAGGTTTTCTCTTCTCTTCGAGGTTGAGGCTGACTTCCCTCTTTTTCTTCCTATTATTGAGTTCTACCCTGTGAGTTCTACCTTTTATTTATCCTATTATTGCTCCTATTATTGAGGTTGTGGTCAGTTGATGAGAAACTGATTTTTGCTGGTTACGAAATGTTCAGTGGTATATTGGATATTAGATATATTACAGATACCTTTCCATGCTCCTTGTATGAAGAGAAAAAAATAACTTCCTTGTGGCTGGAGAACTTAACTAGAGAGTTTTTCTTCCTTCTTTTGTTCAGATTTCAGTGACACACCATATGAGGCAGTTAAAATCTACAAAGGGAAAATTGCATCCAAGGGAGAAGCATGTGCAAACTGGAGAGTGTACAAGCTTGTGTCTTATTGTGCCTGTGGAAAAATGTGCAAGAAGGTAGCTAACTCACACACCCAAGAACAAAGTGATGAAGTTAAGATAGAATGCAGAGGAAAATTGGCGGTGATAAATGTATAGCACTATATACATATGGAGAACTTGACTTAAAGGATAATTAGGTAAAAGGAATTTTGGTGTATTATTGTAATTAGGCTTGCAGCTTGCAGCTAGCGGCCCTAGAGTACTTTCATTTTTCAGATTTTATTTTGTTCTATTGTACTATTGATATTCTATTTATGAAAGAAATAATTTTTGAGTTTATGTATGTATGGCGTGTGTGAAATAGCATATTTGATTATATATTTATGATACCATTGGAAACAAGAAAAAACAAACAACTAAAATGTAGAATTACTACGTCTGTTTTACAGTTAATAACTGTCGTCTTAGAGTTAATAGACGATAGTATATAAAGAAACCGTCGTCTTTACAATTAATGGATGACAGTTTTTTCAACAAATCCGATGTCTTTGGATATAATAAACGACGGTTCTATTGACAAACTGTCGTCTTTACAATTAATTAACCACGGTTCTGTAAAAAAAAAAACGTCGTCTTTACAATTAATAGACGACAGTTTTGAAAAAAACCGTCGTCTTTACAATATTAGACGACGGTTAATTACCGTCGTAGTTTGACATTTAAAAAGATGGCAGTCGATTTAATGACGGTTTTCAAAAGAAGCAGACGGCGGTGAAAAACCGTCGTCTATTTCAATTTTTGTAGTACTGTGTTTTATAACATTTTGATATTACAGTTTCCCTTTTTAAGTACAGCCCCTGTAATTAGTGATTGTTGGCATATGGATGGGAACTTATAGTCTTTCCATACTTGTGGAGAAGCTGTCTAAATATTTCATGTCTTGACAATGTGTTTCTTTTCCCATGGTTATCCAGACATTGGATGTTCTCCTACAAGTACTTGTTGTGTTTCCTAATGTAGAGACTTTGCGCAGTAAGGTAAGGAGTCGTGTGTGTGATACCAGAAGTACTTCGTTTTGATATTTTATCATCTGCACTTGTAACCTGATGCTAGTGTATGGGGTATCCAGGTAACATCATTTGTGCACCGGATGGTGGACACACTAGGAGCATCTGTTTTTCCCTACCTGCTGAAGGCACTGGAGCAATTGCTTGTGGATAGTGAGGTATAAAGAAGTTATAACTAAATTCTTCTGTTCTGAATTTTTTTTTTTTTTTGGGTTAAATCTAACTTTGAGAAAATAATTTTTGGTAATAAATAGAGAACAAATTTTGGACAGGTACTGTGTCACCAAGAAATAAAATTTTAGAAAATAACAATTCTATTTCACATAAGTATATTTTGCACTAGTTTGATGCATGGATTTGATTTGATTTGTTTTCTATGACATGGTATTAACAATGTACTTCTATGACATAGTATTAGCATATTTTCAGTAACAAAGCTTGCTCTATGTTTTGCTTTATATATAGCTGTGTACTTCAAGTTTATAACATGCAGAATGTGATTTTTACTAGGAAGATAGTTCTATGACATAGTATTAATAGTGTACTTTTTTTTTTCTTATAGAGATATTTCCTTTTGTCTTTGCGATTATATTGATGGAACTGTAGACAATTGGAGATGATTTTTGCAAATGATATCGGATGTATTGCTGGGCTTTTTTGAATTTTTTTTATATATAAAATGGTATTAACAATGTTTTTTTTATATGAAATGGTATTAATAATTTTTTTTTGTATGAAATGGTATTAACAATGGTTTTTTTGTATGAAATTGTATTAACAATGTTCTATTTGTATGAAATGGTATTAACAATATTCTATTTGTATGAAATGGTATTAACAATGTCTTTTTGTATGAAATGGTATTAATAATGTTTTTTTTTATTTTTTTATTTTTTTATTTTTATGAAATGGTACGAATAATGTTTTTTTTGTGTGTGTATGAAATGATATTAACAATGTTTTTTATATTGTATGAAATGGTATTAACAATGTTTTTCTATGAAAATTTATTAACAATATTTTTCGTTGAAATGGTATTAACAATGTTTTTCTATGAAATTGTATTAACAATGAACTTATATGATATAGTATTAACAATTTACTTCTATGACATAGTTTGCAAAGGTTCGACGGAGAAGAAAGGGACTTGGGGACATGCCATTGGTTTTCATGTTTTTTTTTCATACTTAAGTTTGGTTTTTTTTAAAAAATATACGAATTGGGCTTGTTTTGGGTCTTTTTGTGTTTTTTTGTATTGGGCTTCTTTTAAGTTAGTTAGTGATAGTCATGTAATTTATAGGAAATTCAACACTCATTTTGTATGTAGTAAATTATTTTTGGGTATGTTTCTAAAGTGCATTTCATGTAGGGTTTTTTATTATATAATTTCACCCCTATTTTAGGTATATTAATAAAGCTCCCCTTTTTTTTTTTTTCTCCAATTATCTATATACTGTCTCCTACATTATTAATAATTTATTAATCCCACTAAAACTAAACTTTTGAATTAACAAAAGTGCTCTTCGTCGACAAAAAAAGACGTCTACGGCTTAAAACCAACATGTAGTGGTGTATAATCATCAATCCCGCCCATATAAGAAAATCATCAATTTTGGCTTGAGCTCACGGCCCAAGTCCGTTGAGCTTGGGCCGTACTCGTATTGGGGCCATTAAATGGGTCGATATGGGCCTACGTCAAATTTGACTTATGTATTGCATTTTTTTGTAATTTTTTTTACAACTGAATTTAAATCTTTTTTTTAATTATAATTATGTATATACTAATAAGATTTATTATTTGTTAAAAAAAAAAGAGGTCAATAAACTTTATTTAAAGTACATTTAAATAGAAAATTGTTATATTATTGTTTTGGTTTTAAAAATTGAAACTTGAAAAATAAAATCATTATTTTATATATAAAGAAAACATTAATTTTTAATATATACCAGAGGCTTTTTAAAAAAAAATTAAATTTATTTTAGAATTAAAAAAGATAATGGATAGTTGTATTTCATAAAAATATGATCCATTATTTGATTTTTCTTTTAATTTTAATTTTTTTAATATGAAAAAGTGTGAATTTACTATTTTATCCTCATTTAATTAATAATTTCAATTCTTAATGTTTGCATTAATCAAGGGAATTTTATGGTATTTTGAATGTTTTACCATTATCTGCTTTTTCCTTTATTTATATATAGATTATTAGAGAAAATAAATAATCTTGAATTTAAGAGATATATATATGTAATAATATTATGTATTAGTTTTCTCTAAAAACAAGTAGAACTTAATAAATGGGCTTTAAACAGGTAGGCCTGTTGGATTTCGAGCTGGTACAATCTGCGACAGGTTAGGAGCCTGCCCGGCCCATTAGACCTAATTACTTAGTCCTGGCACGACCCAAAGATATGAACTATGCTGTATCGTGTCTTACTTAAGTAGACCATGTTCGTGCCATGTCAGGCCGGCCCAGTTCATTTGACACCTCTATGAGAGAGTTTGGTGACACAAATTGTTGACTTTCTATAGCTGCAATTAAGAGCTGAACATCATGTCAAATCATAATATTTTATTACTTTGTTTGATTTGACTGACATATATTAATTCTCGTATTTGTATTTGTATATGTATGAGAAGTGTATAGCTTGTGTATTATATTCCTCAAAAGAATAACAATTTCTAATTACTTTTCATTTTCTAAAAAATTATTAAAATATTATATTAGCCAATTTTACACCATATTGTTCCAACTCAACAGTATTTCCATTCTTGAATCCAAATCCAAGCTCTGTGTAAATACATAAGGCAAGGCCTTGCAAAGGTAATTATAAGTCCTTAACAACAAGCAAGTATTTAGCAATTCCATCCTTCCTTCTCACAACTGAATCCTTAATAGATCCTAAAAGAGAATTTTTTTCACCAATTACTGATCAGTATTTTCAGTTTGGTATATAATGAAGGCTAGGAAAAACAAAATCAAGAACAAAAATAACTTAACCTTTGAATCCAGCAATAGCAACATGCTCTACATCCATATTATTTCTCTCTCATCTCATCTCAAGTCTTCTTGCATCAGACAATAGCAAAGAATATATCAAGACAAAACATTGAATTTAAAACTAAATATTATTCTTCATTTTCTCGGTAACCAAACAAAAAATAAATCATTTCCGAAACAAAAAAATAGATATGCGATACATGTGAGTAAGAAAGTCTTAGAGATTCAGATCTAAGTTCAGTTGTGAGCTGATAAAAGCCTCAGAAAATCCATGCAGGCCATTTCAAATCTAAACCTAACAATAAGAAGAAAGAAAAGACAATGGTGACAAGCAAGCACAACCCTTGACTCGTCACTTCCGGAAGATGTTTGACCTCTTCTATCGCTTGATCATCCAAAGATTGGAATCAAGAAAAGCACCTGACTATATCATGACCAGTGATGTGTTAGATACCCTTATAAACAGTAGTGAAAGAGAAAAATGAGGATATGGACATGGTTGATGATAACAAACTTTGCATAGAAAGATAAGGAAGAAGAAAGCTAGAGAGAGAACACAGGGATTTCTAAGAGATCTTTACTGTTTGTATTTTCTTAATGAACAATTATTGTACACACAATAGCTTTATACAATTACTTAACAACTCCTAATTAACCACAAGATATACATGTGATCTATAGCTACAACTAATATGCTGACTAGACATGTACAATCATCATTCCCCCTCAAACCCAGCTGAGTTCCCCCAATCTAAGATTAATACAGTGTTTGAGAAAATTGGACTACGAAGACCTTTGGTAAATACATCAGCCACTTGTTATTCAGTTGGTATGTATTGAACAATCAGGTCTCCTTCTTGAACTCTCTTTCTGACGAAATGAAAATCAATATCCAAATGCTTGATTCGTGAATGATAAACAGGATAAGAACTAAGCGCAATAGTTGATAAGTTGTCACAGTGCAAACAGGTTGATGAGGCAAACGAACTTTTAAATCTTGCAATACCTGCCTTATCCAAGCTATATCAGCTGACGTATGTGCCAAGGATCGATACTTAGCATCTGTTAAACTCCTAGCACAGAGGTTTGTTTCTTGGATTTCCATGAAATAGGATTAGGACCTAAGAAAACCACAAATCCGGTAGTAGATCTTATGATATTCACATCTCCTGCCCAATCTGCATCACTAAAAGCATGTAATTGCCAAGGACCACTAGAAAACTTCAATCCATGAT